TGGGTTCTGGGTTTCCCTTCTCACCCTGACCCCTTCTCACTGCCTTTCGCCCCCCCCCCCACGAGCCCCCCCACAACGATCTTTACAAGAAAGCGAGAACAGATGACACCACTCCCCGACACCACAGCCTTTGCCAGAACCCCAGGAGGCCTGCACAGTCGGCCCTGCCCCTTCCCTCTCTCCCCTTGCCGCTCTGCCTTCCTGGCCCCAGTCTGGTTCTAGAACATGCCAAGAAGCCCTTTCCCCCAGCAGCCTTTGCACCGAGTGCCCCCTGGGCCTCCACTGGATTCCTTTCATCCTTCCTCTCACTCAGAGCCGCCTTCCCAGGAAGCCTTTCCGGGCAGCACAGCCAAAGCAGGGTCTGCACCCCACCCCAGCCCTCATAGCCACGTAGCCCTGGCTTGTCCCAATTTTCTGAAAGCACTTGTTGGAGCATTTGCTTGTGTCTCTTCCCAGCCTGACCGGAAGGCCAGGACACGTGTGCTTCACTGACCCTGTCCTCCTGCGCCCAGTGCCTGGAGGAGCTTAAGGAATATGGCCCAGTGGCTGGATGCAGTATGGAGACCAGCCTGGGTGTCTAAGCTTCCCCATCCCTCTAACATCCACACCAATTTAGGGCCAAATGTCATCGTGCTGAAAGAGGCCCAAGAACCAATCCAGCCTCCAGAACCAGGCTGAGCTTTCCCCGAGGACTCTTGTTCCTGAGCAGCTGGCGTGCTGTGGCCTGTCGTGTTCTCCAGAGGACATCTGAGATGCTCCGAGTTCCTCCGAACTGGGAGCGGGGCTTCCAGGATTAAATCTCCCAATCCTGCCCCATGTCCCAGGGCTAATATGGTCAGTTTGCTCTCTCCTTGTGAAAGACAGTGTGGAAGACACGTGACTGGCCACTAGATGTCGCCACACACAAAAGAACCAGTGTTCCAGTGCCACAAGCCCTGTCCCCAAATCCAACAGGCCCACCAGGCTCAAGCCCACACTCTGATCCTACCCAGTGCCAGGCCCCAGAGCAAGATCTAGTCGCTCATTCAGGGGCAGTTCTTCTAGATGCTGCACATCCCAGGAGCTGGGGGTCCTGGCTTCACAGGGAGGGGGGGGGTCTCTTCCTCACTGTCCTTCCTGACAGTCACACTTCTTCCAACAGAGAGGCAGGCTCAGAACCCACAGGAATGTGTGTGTATGTGTGTGAGAGAGAGAGAGGGAGAGAGGGAGGGAGAGAGAGAGAGAGGTTTTATTTTTCAGAATTCTGCTCTGTCTTACACTCCTACATACAGAGAGATGGGTGTTCCATCATCTTCCTCCATTGTGGCCTGTCCCAAGGGACCTCCCACACTCATGCAGTGATTACTAAGTGGGGGCCTCACAGGGTGTCTTGGGTACTTGAATACGTCTTTGGGGCCAGGTTACCCCCAAGTCAGCACAGTTCCCCGGCAGAGACTGGTTCTTACCCGTTTCTTCTTGCTTCAGGGAAAGAAGATTCCTGTTATTTCTAAAAGTTACGATCTTCCAGGATTCTTCCAGCTCTTGTCTGAGCTGATCCCGCCCTGCCTCCTGACAGAGGGCACACCCAGGGCTGGATCTGGGGCAGAAGGTGGCCAATGAGCACACATTTCCGCCCTTCACGATCCCATCTAAGCAGCCTAGGCCTTCACAACTCGTTTAAATAATTTCCAAATAGAATCTGCAGCAAGGGTGTCAGGGAGAAGAAAATGAATAATTGAAGAGAGCAGGTCATAATAACCCAAACAACAGACATTGCAGTCGCTGGTATGCTGCAAGGATGTTAAAGTATGTTTGGATTTGGTGCCTGTCTACGCAAACACGCTGTTAAATTGTCATTACATTCTGACAAATATCAGATTAACTTCATCTGGAACTCTTATTCTCCCCTGTAGGGATCAGGAACTTGTCTCCATTAAAATGTGTTTAAATCACATAAGTCCAAACTGCAACTAATTTAGATACCAATTATTCATTCTGTGACTCAGCCATGAGGGCCACATGTAATGGTGCTTCTCACTTACGGTTTCCCGGCTAGCCCCATAAACACTCCCTCACCTAACATGGTAGCATTTCCATTCTAAATCCTAAGAAAATCTCTGCTAACTGCCCAATCAGAGACAGACTTGCTCCCTCTCTTGGAGATATAACATTCTGGAAGCATACTAGGGAAGGCATAGATGAGCCAAAGAATAGAAATGGAAATAAACAGCTATTAACTACCCACATAAATAGCGAGGGACCGGCCTGAGGCCATATACCAAGCCATAGATAAAAGTGTCGGTGATTCCAGAAAATTACATCTGATTGGGACAAACGCAATGAACAGAAACTGAGGGACACACATTTGCTGCAGACACACAGGCATATTCATGCCCCTAACCCCCCCTCCCCCAACACACACACTCCTGTTGGTTCTAAGCCCGCATCCCTGTTGAAGGAAGGGTTGGCTGGTAACAGACAATGAAGAAGGGCTCACAGCCACAGGGAAGGATGCGAAGTGACAAATGGAGGCCGTGGCCTGAGAGGCCACATTGTGCTCCTGGGAGACATCCGGCCCAGTCTCTGCAGGGACATAGTCTCTACCAGCACGAGTCCAGCTTCGAAGCAGCTGACCTCTCTTTAGAGCAGCGGTTCTCAACCTGTGGGTCGCGACCCCTTTGGAGGTCGAACGACCCTTTCACAGGGGTCGCCTAAGACCATCAGAAAACACATATATAATTACATATTGTTTTTGTGATTAATCACTATGCTTTAATTATATTCAATTTGTAACAATGAAATTGGGGGTCCCCACAACATGAGGAACTGTATTAAAGGGTCGCGGCATTAGGAAGGTTGAGAACCACTGCTTTAGAGGAATCGGGCGATGGTGCTGAGGGCCCGAGTGAGCGGGGCTGCTGGATGGTGCGTGCAGCAGTCAGACCCATTCTGATAACCTGCTCCGGAAGCTGCTGTTCTCTGACAGGCACGCGTGGCCCTGAATACAAACACAGCTGCCTGTACTCATCTGTATTTATAAAGTGAGGCTAATGCTGCCTGAACACCACATTTATATAAATTGAAATATACATTTATACCCGGGGTGATCTTGTCCCTGCTTGGAGAATCCTGGGTAACCTCAGGCTGGGCCAGACAGCAGGGGCTCCTTTAGATACACAAGCCACCCCTGCTCCATGCGTCCCAACACTTGTCTTTTGTCCATTAAAAAAGGTGATATATTAACTTGACCTGGGTGGTGAACACACAATACCATGTACGGGCGATGCGTTGCAGAATTGTGCACCTGAAATCTGTATAATTTTGTTAACCAATGTCATCCCAATAGATTCAATAAAAACAATAAAAAATAGCCCTACCCGGTTTGGCTCAGTGGATAGCATGCTGGCCTGCTGACTGAAGGTTCCCTGGTTCGATTCCAGTCAAGGGCACATGCCTGGGTTGCAGGCTCGATCCCCAATAGGGGGCATACAGGAGGCAGTCGATCAATCATTCTCTCTCATCATTGATGTTTCTCTCTCTCTCTCTCTCCCTCTCCCTTCCTCTATGAAATCAATAAAAATATACTTAAAAATTTTAAAAAGTGATATATTTTAAATGCTCACATTTGAAATTTACATTTGCATACAAATATAAAATATAATTGTGCTATTCATAGAGCTTCTATAAAATATCACTTTAGAAACTACACAGGTTAACAGCCTGACAGTAACCAGCAGAGCCACACTCACCGCAGGAATCACCCTCTGAAGGAATGAGCATTACTAGGGACAGTGGAGAAGGGAAATGAGATGCACTCACTTCACGCTCAGCCTTGAGCTTGAACCCAAGGGCCCTCCCAACATTGACCTAAAGCCACATCCCCAGACATCCTTCCCCTGGGTCCTTACCTGCTTCTGGAAATTAACTTCAGGCAAACCGGCGCTCAACTGTGGCGGGCGGGCTGCGGCCGGGGAGAAATAGGAAGGTGCGGCCCTGTGGAAACAACATGGGTCATGGGAGGAGCCAGGAGGGACCAACGGCTGCCTGCCTGCCGGAGTCCAACCTGGAGCACACGCCCGTGCTGACAGATACAGGGCTGCGGGCGGGAAGCTCATGGCAACGGCTCTGCCGCAGTCCAGAAATACCTGTGTGTCTGGCCAGCCCAGGGGCCTGCACCAACACCTCTGGGATGAGGTGCTGACTGCGGCTGTGCGCGCTGTCATTTCCCACTAAAGCAGGTCAGCACACACCCTCCTCCCCCTGAGTTAGTCACCAAGTCCAACTGAAGCTGTGCTGGGACCACAGTGAGTCACTCCAGGGCAGCTGACCGGCAAGTCCCACACCCGCACACAAAGGTGCACCCTCCAAACCGAACCTGAGTCGGGCACAGGTACCTGGGCACTCCCCCTCCTCTGTGCCCGGCGTGCATTGTGTCTGTGCTTGGTATATGGAAGCATAAACACACACACAACACAGTTGCAGATAACTTACAACCTACTCGCCCAGCCACAAAACCGCTTGTGCCAAACACACCTCTTCCAGGAATCAGAGAACACGGTCTTCTTGTCTTTTGTCTCCCACACTCCACTCATCGCCCAGGCCCTTTGCAGGTTATTAACAGAAGCAGGGACCGAGGCCAATAGGTGGGAGACACAAGGGGACAGGCAGGGGTCACCAGGGAGACTTGCCCTCGGGCCACCACCTGGTCACCTCCGCTGTGGCTCACAGACCTCAGCACCTGGGTTCAAGGTGGCCTCCCGGCTCAGCCCTGCAGTGAGGACAGGGGTCCGAGGACGACACTTTGAGAAACCTGTTCCAAGGGCAGGTACAGGACCAAGGGAGCTTTGAAACCCTGTGTCTTCTACGATTTCTGCAAAGAAAGCTGCTCGCTCACCTGAGGGGCCGAGAGAAACGTGTTTTCCGTAAAAAGTGAGATTTCAGAAGCCGCCCCTACAGGTAGACGTGTCTCTGCCCTTTGGGTCTCTGTTCTGTGTATCCCTTCAACTATCGATGGCCCTGGGATGGAGGAGCCATCCCCTCAGACTACGCTGTGGGAACAGACATTAATAGTGACTAATTGCTCTTTTATTCCTCTGGATAGCAAAGCACCCAAATACCAAGGGCCCTGGGAAACGTGCACCCACGTCCCCACATTCCTTCAAAACAAGATGAAAAGAGCCACCTCCCCCCACTTCTGAGGGGCTTCCTTTCTTCACCGACCACAACAGCCATTCGCCTCCTCCTGTCTACAGCAAGCGTGTCAAACTCAAAGGCTGACCCGGGCCAAATAAACAAGGTTGAAGTTTATGTGGCCACAGAAAAACAAAAGCTTCCATCTTCATAGAAACGTAGTTTATTTTGATAGGGACATGCTGAATACAAAGGGCTGAAATAAATGAGTCATCGTTAACATAAAATAATAGAACATTTCAATAAAATTAATATTTTTTCTTGAACATTAACTTACCAGACACTGAATAATTGTACAAATTAATAAGCGTAACGCAAATAAACCTATTTTTCTTGTTCTCTGAAAGCAAAATCTTTCCTGTTGCCCACCCCAAACGAGTCAGTACAAGACTAACGACGTGGCAATCGGCTGCTAAAATATTCGCTGCTGGTATTAGTGGAGAGAAATGGTGCGCCTGCCCATAAGGGAAATGAATGCAACACGATTATAGTAATCAGTCATTAGCGAACAGTGTAGTTTGTCATTAATAATTATGTATAACAGGATATTGTAAAAATTAAGTTACGAAATTTTTATTAAGACGTTTCTTACATACCGTTATATTGGCTGGGCCACAAAAATATTCGTCATGGGCCACATGGGACCCACGGGCCACGGGTCTGACATGCTTGGTCTACAGGGCTCAGCCCTTCCAAGGAGCAGAGAGGAGCCTGGTATTCGTGATTTTAAGGGGAAGGCAGCAAAGGGATGGTGTTCCTGGTGGGACTGTCCTGCTGTTCTACGTGGCATTTTATGTGTTCCCAATTTACAGAGCAGGAAAGCGGGGCCTGGAGCCTGAGGACCCTGGAGCCAGTGGAAGGCAGCAGCCATGCTCGGGGGCTGGGTTCTGCTTCCAGCTTGCTCGTCGCCGCTGAGCTGTGCAGCCTGAGGTCGGTCACTGCCCCGTGGGCCCTGCATTTTGCCATTTGTGGAAAGGAAAACAGGACCTCTACCATGTCCTCCCTCGGGTACACGCAATCGGGGCTGGCTTCGTGGGCATGAAGCCTGGGCAGTTAGAAGGGCCTCACTCTGGGTTTAAGCTCTGCTGTCCCTGTCTTGAAATTCCTAATTTTTTTGGCGACACAAGCTATATGGCTGGACTAGAATGAGAAAAAGGAAGTCACAGCGTTCTCAAACTGCCCAGGGCCCCACAACCTGAAGTAGACCCGGCATGGATGCAAGAAGGATTTGTGTGTCCACAGCCCCCTGTCAGCCCTAAGAGCAGGGATGCAGAGTGGGGCTATGACACTGAGCCTGCCTTCCCGGGGTGACCAAATGACTGAGGAAACTGAACTACACAAGGTGAACAAAAACCAATACAAACAATATGGACAACCAGCCTAAAAGGTACAACAGGTTAAGACACAACATCCAGAGCACCACCTGCATGTGATGAGCTATGCCAGCGCCTCCCCGAGCAGCTGTGAGGCAGGAGGTAAAGACCTTGACCCAGTGTGAGAAGTGGCCGAGTAAGGGCATGTGCAAAGCTCTGCGAGGACACAGAGGAGGAGGAGGGACTACTAGCAAAGAGCTCTGGGGAGAAGACACGGAGCTGGGTCTTGAAGGATGAATAGGAGTTTGCTGGTAGAGAAGAAGGGCAAGGGCATGACAGGCACAGGGAACAGACATTCTCCTGTGCTGGGCACGAAGAGACACAGGTGAGCAAAAACAGTTATGGTCCACTGGGAGGAGTGGCTCCCAGGGAGTAGGGCAGATGGATGTTAATCAAGTCACACCCGGAGGTGCCTCCTCAGACACTGATAAGTGACACAAACTTCTGAGGGGGAGCTGGGTTGGGGGCCACTTCTGTGCTCGGGGGTACGTGTCAATGTCCTGCAGCAGGAAGAGACCGGGCCTTGGGAGAACTGGAGGCCTCGAGAGCCAGCGCTGGACGGTGGGATGGGGGGCCGTCTCTGAGAGGTGGGGAGAGGTGCTCGACAGTGGGGAGTCAGGGAGACTCTGACTTTATAAGACCAGCAAGATGCGGTGCGGACCAGAGCCTGGAGCAGAGCTGGAAGGGACAGCCCCCTGGGCCAGGTGAGAGCTGGGCTTGGGCTGGGAGGGGACAGGGAAGGGGACACTTTGGCAGGTGGAACCGTATCACTGTGACCACCTGCGGAGACAGAGTCAAAATGGGGCGACCGACCATATCCTGGGGCACTTCTGGGAGACACAGCGCACTGGATGATGGTCGGGGTTGGGGGGCATATTTCGGAAGAAGGGGCGACCTAAGTGAACGTGAAGACTTGGCATCCTGCCAATGCCACTTACCAGCTGTGTGGCCTTGGGGAACATATTCATTTCTTTATTTAATCAGCAAGTTTATTGAGCACCTACTATGTGTATTGGGATACATCAGTGAAAAAAGAAACAGTCAAAAATCCCTACATACAAACAAATAAAAAATAATCAATGGGTAAATGATTAAAAACCGAGTCGGGTGAGGGGAAACAGGAGTGTGGGTGGTTGGGTTGGGCCTCCCTGAGCAAAGCCATGGAGGAAGTGAGGAAGCGCGCTGTGGGAATCCTGGAGCAGAGCTGGGTGGAGCCCGGGTGGGGGAGCAGCAAGAAAGGCTATGGGGGAAGCAGGAGGCAGTGAGGGAAGCGAGTAAGGGGACAGGGCAATGGGAGGCCAAGAGGCCTCTGTGAGAACCCGACCTTGACCTCTAAGAAAGGGCAGCCACTGTGGCCTGGTCTGACCACCCCAACGTGAAAATGGAGAAGAGCTGAGGGGTGAGAGCAGAAGTGGGAGGCCAGTAAGGAGGCCGTGGCAGAAATTCAGGCAAAAGGCAGGCGGTGGCTGTGGGGCCAGAGTGCACAGGACATCAGGAGGGCTGGGGACACAGTGTGGAGTGTGAGAGGAGGGAGGCGTGATGGTGACTCCCAGGTGTGTGGGCTGAGCAACTGAAGGTGGGGATTCCTATCAACCAAGAAGGGGGAGACACAAGTGGAGCAGTGTTGGGGAAAGACCAGGAGTTAAACTTTAGACAATTCAGAGCCTTCCCATCTCTAAGCCTCGGTCTCCTTATCTATAGAATGGGGGTATCAATGACACCTGCCTCAAGTGCTGGCTGAAAATTAAATGGGATAACAAGTAAAGAAAGCACTGGGCATAGAGCCTGGGACACTCAATAAATATCAGTCACTATTACTAGTGATGGCAACAACGACAATGTAAGTAAATGACATTTTCATTACAGGATGGGGGTCAAATTAAACAAAAATAAGAATTCAAAGGTTTAAAATACCCCAGCTTCCTTTTCTCCCCTTCCTTCCCAGTTCTCCCATCAGCTCCCAACTGGCTCAAAGGAATGCTAAGGGGTGAAGAGCTACGGGAGGGCGGGGAACAGGGCTCCCTCCCATGTTTTCTACCTGCTGGCCCGGATCACTGGTTTCTTGACCTTGGGCACTACGAACACTTTGGACTGGATCACTGACTCTTACATACCGTGATATTGAGCAGCACCCCCAGGCCCTACCTCACACGGTCATGTTTCAGTCAGTGACAGACCCATATACAACAGTGGTCCCACAAGAGTCCAATAGAGCTAAACTATTCCAGCTGTCTGGTGAATCATAGTCCTTGTAATTACAAATGCCACTGTGTTACAAAAGCCCAGAGTACTCAGTACAGTGACATGCTGTACAGCTCGTAGCCCAGGAGCTGTAGGGGAAGAGCATGTCACCTCCAAATGTGTCTGTTTGGCGCGAGGATTATTTAGGCAGGTTAGCTTTAAGAAACAGGAACAGGGAGAAGCTCATGTAAAGGGTGTCCCAAAATTCACACAAGATTTGAATTTTGCGTGACCATTAACAACAACAAAAAATAAAAGCCTAAT